GTTGGAGATTTGCTCTGCAACTTACACCGACCAAGCTAAAACGATAAAAATGTGTGCGTTTAAACGCTTGTGAACGCGACGATCCAATTTGGTTGGCTATGTCGGGTGGTGGAGGGTTTCACGACAGAAAATTGGCCAATAGACCAAAAATCAATAATGGATTATAATATTGGCCCCCGAAAGCTTTACGCATTATGCGATCGAACTTTGTCTTGCAGACCACAGAGGGAGGTTGTATGCGTGCAATGTACAATTTAAAGCTCGCCTTCAAGAAACACGCGTCGAGTGGTGAGCCCAAGATGTTTTACTCTTCAAACTGCAACTTCCTCTGATCTGCAATAACACATGCTGCCACGTTCAAGGGATGCTGCCCTCGTGCTAATGATCAGCACACTGGACTTGCAATCCAGAGGTCACAGGTTCGATCTCCCGGAGTGGCAGTTGGAACAACGGGCACATTTTCTTAAATTCACCACCCACCCCCACGTCTGTCTTACCCAGGTGTCACATTTGGGAATGCAACAGTTCGTCGGTCGGCAGTGGATGTCAAAGAGCTGAAAATGACTTCGTGTTTTTTTGTCAAGAAGATGACCTCCTAATGATCCGTTTCTATTTTTTTTGCGATTGCATGACTAAATATAACCGTGTTGTGGTATATGTTTTCATGCTCAAAAGAGTATTTTGTTATGTCAATCTTACATTAATAAACTTTAACTGTCAGAGCAGGCCTCGGCCAAATTAAAGTCAAATAACCAACTAATAATGTTTTCCCCCCACTCCCCCCCCCCCCCTAATATTCACTGGTTACCGGTTTGAGGCCATAAAGCTCACTATACGTGATGATTTGGTTCTAATCGCGGGCAGCCGCTATGATTTGCACACCGAATCTCAGCAGTGCTGGCTCTCCGCTCCGATAAAGGCATCATCCCCTTAAGCAAATCAGCCACTTCAAATTTTTAATCATTTTGACGACCATAATCAGCTCCCACTCTGCTCGTACATACTGTGCGTATGAATATGCACACATTAGATGCACAGTTACGTGCGGCTGAAATTGAATCTCTCGAATGTTATAATTAACTGTGGGCATATTCATTGGATCATCCATAATAATGTAGGGACAAAATGAAGCATCGCTGAACCTAAATCATAATCATCACATCTAGGATTAACATTTCAATTTAAAATATTTAAATAAAGGTAAATATGCATAATACTGTAATGGCTGTTGATTTTTTTTATTTTAAATAAAACTTGCTTTTATTGATTTCATCAAATAATTTTAGTATTTTAACGAAAATTCTACAGTCTCCATCACACTGTATATACTTAAACATGTATATCACATGTGCAAAATAATAGACTTGCTAAATAATTAACGAATTCAGTGTCTCTGATTGTGGCCACAGGTCAAAGTGAAATATGGTAAATAGTAATTATAACGGCAAAAATAACAAATGTGTTAATCCACCCCTGGACGGAGACCTCTCCCATAAGTTGACCATACTTCTCCACGTGGGTCAGAGCGGATTGGTGAAGTAGGTTTGGTGGGGGAAGGCCAATTCAGACATCAGTCCCCACTTGATGTTAGCCATGGTCAGGAATCATCGCACCCAGCATGCTCTTACTCCTTGGTCACTGAGGAAATTACTACAATGCACTGTTATGCTGGATGAGTCCCCATTCTTCTTCTTTCGTATGGCTGATGCATATGCAGAGCAACAACTTACAATTTCACATTCAGGTGGTCAAGCCAGAATTAGCGGAGTGCATCGCTGTGATGTCTCCTTCGTATTTGTGGATCGGCCATTGCGTCGTTATATGTTGTACGGTCTGTTCTGGAGAGTTTCTTATTTTTCCATTTGTGCATCAGGTATTCGCATCATCCATGGTTTCTGGTGATGTGGCTTAGGCCGGACCATGAGCTTCGTGGATGATCAAACCCAGGGATCTTCTGCTTTGGGTCTTTCACGAGGTGTTTGTTTGTGAGTTCTTTTGAACTCCATTCACCTCTCTAAACTTTATTGGGGTTGAGCTCCATCGATTGACACCGTTTATTTTATTTGAATTGAGGACCTCCCATCCTATCGATTAATGACGATGGCCCTTCTAGTGTATGTGCGCACGCCGGTGCGTTCCATTGTGAACTCTGTCGTCTCTTGGCCTGCAATAACCCTCCCGGTGAAAGCGCATACTTGCAGGCATCACACGCCGACTGCAAATGTGCCAGAAAATTTAAGCTTTGGGCAACAAAAGTGAAGGCGCATTGGCCGCGCGTACAGTGTCGCCTTGTGACACTTAATCCCCACGAGCGCTGATCACAGAGAAAGCCACCGCAAGGAATGCCGCGGCCGTGTTTACCTGGATTACAATCAAGGTGCACACTGCTACCGCGCTTGCCAATGACAATATCCTAATGGGAAGCGTGGTTGCAGACAGAAAGGGAAATTCTACGTCTCTGCTGATTGCGTTTAGTCTGTCCACTGTCACCTTGGAACACGGCGCTGTGATAAAATTCCGCGTAATGGTTATCGTACTGAATCTATTTCCCATTGGGGGACATTGAAACAATTGAGCAAGTTGTTTTTGTAATTATTATTGCCCCATCTTTGTCCACCCCACAGCGTAAATTAATACACCGAAGTTAAATGGATATGCCAACGTTCATCGATCGGCGGGTTGCGTGCGGTGGAGGCAAGTGTGGGTACCTCCCACGTCTGCCAAGACGTCAGGCTCGCATGAAAGAGTAGGCCAAATACGCTGTAGAGTGGTTCTCTGGGACTTCCTCTAGTGGAGGCCCTTTTGCCAGCAGTGGGGAACAAGCAATTGCAGAGCTGCAACTTTACCAACTTGACCTCACTCGTAATGAATTAACAAATTTGGCATCAGGAGTAGACAACTGGAACACAATGGTCTACTCTTTTCAACGGAAGAGGGTGTTTACAATCCACCCATTTCATAACCATTCGGTGGAACATTCTCTCCAGGGATTATTTGGGTGGGGTGGCTATAGACACGACATCTTTTCAATCTGGCTCAGTGGCCGCTAAAGGCTGCACAAATCAATGCCTCCATCGTCTCTTTTCCTAAGGCCTGATAACCCGGTTTAATTCGAGAAACGTGTGCACCCACACATGTACAAATATTACAACTCGAATATGGCCACTTGTTGCGTTAGGACCATTGGGCCTTTGCTCAGCAAACGTGATACAAAATCTAATTAAGACATTACAAAAAAAGCTGCATATAAGCACAACTCATAAGCACATTTCCGTAAAAAACGACAATATGCAGGTTACATTGGCGGGCTGAAGGCGATGGGGAAACTTCTGATACAAGTACACTTTGGATATAAGCACAGCTGACCTTACTCAAAAGGGCCGTGCTAATAGCCAGCTTTCTACTGCATATACACGTGAGTTTTCTTTGTGTGGTGGTTAACCTCATTTACCCCAGTAACTGCAGGGGTGGTAACTAGCGATGGATGGAGTGTACCGCTACCTAGTTTTGTATTTATATGTTCGTTTTTGCACAGCAAAGCAAATGTCCACAAGTTATTTATATTTAAATTTAAAACTTTCGTGACTGCAGGGATTCATATTCGTGATTCTTTCGGTAAAGTCACATAGAAGGGAAACAATAAAAATGATGATTGCTTGTGTTGCAGTCGAAACGTCGCAAGAATTTTATTGTTTTATATTTTTATTATTTTATTGTTTCCCTTCTACGTGACTTTACCGAAAGAACCAAGAAGATGAATCCCTGCAGTCACGAAAGCTTTAAATTGAGACGTTGTGTTCTTGCCAAATAATCGATAAAGAAGCGGCCTTGCACGGCATTATTGTGTACATATTTGTAAATGTTCATTGTTATTAATAATTATTGTGGCCGGGGCCTTGTGTCATGCACGATGTGCATGCATTCGACTTGGTGACTGGGACTCGTCTATTTAAAGACTGGTCCAAGGCTGCTATCAGCAAAACATTGATCTGGAAAGCCCATAGGTCAATTTTTTTTTTGACAACGGAAACAAATGTCCCGTTAATGAAACAACAAATATGTTGTAGACAAATAGGACACTTACTGTACGTGTGTAATGTAAAAGACAAAAAAAATGGCAAATATCAGACGAGAAGCTCTGAACAGACTCTTGCTGGCAAGTGAGGGCCTAACGAAGGCTGACACAGCACAAGCGAGGGAAGGTGGGCAGTCTGCCCAGTGCTGATGTTCACGCACCGCACTCAGGTACTCATTTTAGGCCGAGTCAACCTTGGGGAGGCGCCCAGGGCTGGTTCAGCGGTAATCGAACTCTGATCACCGGCTTTGTGGCGTAATGCGCCAAGCGCTACGCCACCGCCAGCCACGAAAATGCGTGCACACAGACGTCTCCAATTCAGGTACAAATGGTTTCTGTGATAAATTTTTTTTTTTATATATATAAAGGTGTTACCGTGTGATACATTCAGTGCAAAATAAAAGTCCATTGCTTTTTTGTAATTTTAAACACGCGTTAGTTAAGACAAGGCTCTTCTCAGGACATGGACAACTGCCTGCATCATATGCGACTGACTATAGATGGAGTGCACTGCTTGTCTGGCTTTGCATTAACGTCTCAATTTTACACAGCAGAACGCACTGATTTTGCAATCTGTTGAAATTCTAACAAATCATCACGGAGCGCCATTTACTAAGAATAGCTGCATGCATCATACGCGAGCATTTTAGATTCACGACGCAAGGCAGAAGGAACTTTGTTGGCCCAATAACAGTTATTGGCATCTTTTTTTCATAGGGTAAGTACAACATGGCCTCATCATATCTCTAAGGCATTTACACAAATAGCTTCCTGTCAAAGATTGTAAAAAAGTAAAGGTCACTCCTCAACGATATCTATCTTCAACCAGTATACCTGCATTCGATCTGGAAATATCAAGTAAGGCCACGCGTGTCATTAAAGTATTTGACAGATTTAAGGAAGAATGAGAAGATTGCTTTCTTACCTTCCCTTCAATAAGAAGCAAACAATGATGAGAACAACGATAATCCCGGTCGCTACCGACAGCCACACAATGGTACTCTGGCTTGGATCACTAGAGATATCCAGTGCTGCAAAGGAACACAGAAAGAAACACGCTTTTAATATCCACAATTCAATTACGCGATAAGAGGTACCCACATATCAAGGGCAACACGTGTGCTGAATGGTGTTCAGCGATACATTCCACACAGTTGGAAGAGAAGGTGTCTCACAGTGGTAAGCAATTATGACAAGTGACATTTTTACTTCAGGGCATCATGGAGGACACTGACATCTTTTTAGATTGCTAATCTTGGGTGGCCAGCTATCTAACCAGGCATTAAAAAAAAAGCGAAACTATTTTTTATTTTACCAGGTAAAGCTCACTGGGCTATATAGATATGTTTCAGAAGCGACCTGGCTAGCTCATGCGGAAATTTCTAGCAGCCAACTACTCTAAATATTTCTAAATATGGTGGGAAAACCGGAGGAACAGGAGATAAATTAAAACTCCAAATATACAGGCGTCAGGGTTTGGATCGAATCCACGACACCAGGTGAGATAGTTAACATCTCACTACTGTGGTGCCCACAGTGGCTTGACTGTCGAATGGGAGACAGCTTGTAATATTTTCTTATATTGTAGTGTCAATTTCAACACAGATTCTGGCACATTTCAAATATGGCACGTGTGTGTGTGTATGTACTACAAAGGGTGAAGCGGTGGCAACATGGTTAGCGCACTGAGATACAAACCCAGGCAACCTGAGTTCAATTAATCGGTGGTGAATAATAAAACGGGATCCGGACCTCCCCTAGGCAGACTTTTCCTGAACTGAGTACTTGATGCGGTGAGTAAAACAACATCAGCACTGAGAAGATCAAGGTGGCCAGGAGTAGTGCCGGCCACACTACCTTCCTGAGCGCTGTGCCAGCCTACACAGATATGCGTCACTGGCGTTGGCCGTGAGAGAGAATCGAGCTCGGCTCGCTCGGCTGGTAGTGCGGTGTGACAAGCACTTTGCTAGGTTGCGATCTGTGCTGGCCTGAAGTGGTGCTCAATGATACGACTTGCCCAAATCGCCTAGGGAAGGCTTATGGGGAAAATCTTTGTCGGTGTTTGTGTGTGCGCACTGTACTGCCGTTTCATGAGACTAGGTAATGTTTTTTTTATTTGCATATTTAATCGACCTGGAAAACAGGCAGGGCAATTTTAAGCCAAATGTCGGTTTTAATAGATTTACGATCAACTCGCAATGATAGCACAGCCTGTAAACAACCACGGGGATGGGATCGACTGTCCTCGCGGTTGTTTGGGTCAGCAAAAAAACGAGATGAATAAATTACGCAAATGTGATGGAAAACACAGTAGCGGTCCTTTTCAGTGGCAGTAACGGTTGAGGGAATGCAGAATGTATGCCTAGGGAAGCACAACTCCTGGAGGTTTTAAAAAAAAAACCAGAGAGTCTAATTTCCACACAGACTCCACGAAAAAAAGCATTCAGTTTCAAATTTCACGCACTAACCGCAGGAAGAATTTGCTACTTCACATTTGACAAGTGTTGGGCAAGTGTCGAACACGCAGTATTGAGAATCCACTGGAGCAATGCACTTTTAAATATAGATTGAAAACTAAATTTCTTTACGACAGCTTTTTGTGTTTAGTTTGTTGTCCTTCCCACCCACATCCCCCGATTAACACGGTTGGCTACGTACGGTGTGAAAGATGTTCAACATACATACAAGTGCACGGTTTACTTCAACGTTTGATTGGCATGGTTAATTCTCGAATATTAATTAGAGATCAGTCCAACATATCAAACTCTGGCAGTGCCACCCACCTATTCGCACAATCTACACGCCCCACTGCCAAGACTTTGATGTGGAAAAGAGCCAAGCCCTGTGAATTTCTCGTGGTGGAATGTGCACTGCGATATGACAAATTGTCTTGTGATGATAGGACAAAGGCAGTTTTAAACATGACTACTCCCCATAATAATAATCAGCGCATTGTCAATCCACCACTGTAAGTCTGCATGACAAGTCTACCCACTCCATTTCAGTAAATGGCGATTATTTTAATCATACCTCACCAAGCTGGTCAGAACGCGCTGGTAGAGAACGACTGCTTCAGATATTACTCGCCACCGGTGTCGTCCATGTGACGGGGTATCGAAGTCGTGTTGCCGAGATCATTGTGCAGTGCGCTAAGCACTGCGCTGCCACTCCCCAAAATAAAGTTACATACGTACACCCCAACTCTTGGCATGGCTGGATAAAGCAAGGCTGCGGCCGACCATGATGAAAAAAAAAACCAATGTGGTTCTTGAGGAATTTCAGCTTAAATGCTCAATTATATCATTTTGGGAAAGGATATGCATTTAATGTAATAAGCAATGTACAGTAAACTGAAAAGAAAAATACTTCGCATGTTGCAATTTTGACACGGTAATTTTTTTTTTCAATATGCAATATCGCAGGGATTCAATCTCATTAATATCTTAGGAACCGTAAAAGTGGTCCCTAGGATATAGGGGTTAATAGTCAACAGTGGCAATATCCTGACCCGTGACACCACTTACAAATTCTAGCTTGGGATCCCATTTTAACCCAAGTTTTGCTCGAACGTAAATTATAGAGGAATTGGAACACCGTTCAACGATTTTGTGTTTTCAGAAGACAAACATCCGCTTGCAGAATCTTTGAACACGATTTATGTAATAGGCTCCGTACAGGCGCCTGGCAACACTATAGGCATTTAAATCCATGAGAACAAATATGGTGGCAAAGGTAGTTCAAGGTCTAACATGATTTAAATGGCAGATTGGCATGACGAATTGTACACAAGTAGCTGCTCCGGCATAACGGAAAAAGAAGGACAAAAGCAAATTGATTGGCTAGCATACGAAAGAACAAGAAGATTAGGGCCAATAACTATCAGTTTGTCATATTAACAGCATACATTAACTGAATTAGTGTCCGAGAGTAAATATATAGGAAGGAAATAATAATGGGGAGAAAACTGTTTTTTTTTTAAAGGTGCCACAATCAGAGGCTTAACGAAATAAATTTCAGGTGTGCTCGTGCATTTGTGAAATGGCCAATGATTATAGGCTGGGACAGAGAGTATAAGGTGGAAGCATGCCGAGTGACTGCTCTGATTAGTGAGTTCTGCAGCGTGCCAGAAAGAAACATCTTCAAGGTCACACCGGGCAGTGAGTGAGCGAGAAGAACCAAGCCAAGCTAAGCTCCATGGATGTGATGGAAATGTATGTTTTATTATTATTATCATAGACTGGAGAAAATGAGGTTTGTTCTGGGGCAACCCATTAAAATATTCCTTAAAGAACAATACTGGCAGAAACGTGATTGGTAGTCAAATGAAGGTTAAAGTTGGCCTCACAAGGAAGAAAAATAATGCATATGCATGGAGCCTTTAATGTTTTCCAACCTGGATTTGTCCTTGGAAAATATATATATACTTTTAAAAAAAAATATAAGGAGGTTAATGACATAATTCGTACTGCTCACAAAAGTAAGTGGATTCAAGCATGACACGTCTAGAAATCATGCCTTGTCATTTCAAGTGAGGGATGGAAGCAGCTGGTATGCAGATGCTGGGTGAATTATTACATCGCAGGAGCATGACAGATAGTGGTGGCTCAGGGAGGCCGTCATCCAGCAGTAGATTGACCGTTGGTCGATAACGATTAATAACAATCCAACGTCGCTTGGTACGTGAGCTCGCGATGTAATGGCTATGAGGCTGGACTCGCAAATTTGGATTGCCACCAATTATTTATCCTGATGTGATAGTCGAACCAATGGCACAAGTTTATTGAATTCCCCTGCCTCTGTGCACCCAGCAGGATAAATGAATGCAACAGAGTCGGTTGACAGGTCACGTGTGGTGGCGAAAAGTGTGGATTCTCCAAACTCTCCCAATATTTGTGGCCGGCATGGAAGACTTGGCAATATACAGTACCCTCGAGGGGGGCTCCCTAGAATTCCCTCTCGTGGGGGGCTCTTCCACCAGCAGTGGCGCGTACAAGCAATTGCCGGGATGCACCTTTACAGTTGACCTTGTCGTGTGCATGTGTGCATGTTTACCTTGCAACTGTGCAGTGTGCATTTGGTTGTAAGTATACACATAAACAGACGCAAAATGCATGCAGTCCATATAAATCTGCAAGCACAATAGCTTGTTTAATTATTTTTTACGTACATTTAGTAGTGTAGCTGATAGTGAGAGTGATCTACAGTCTGTTTAAAAATGTAATACGTGCGTTTTTGTGTAAAAGAATAAATCATAATTGGTTTATTTTGCTCTGAATGGATTATTTCAAGACAAACATTAGACTTCAGCATTGGACAATAGTACTTATTTTAGTTTCATTAATGATTAATTTCCCCTTATTCTTTTGCTATTCATGAGCGAGCAAGATGACTATGATTGTTAATGATCTTTATTCATCATCTCCAAATGTAAGTATGTTTTGCATATACATTGGAAAAAATGGTCAATCAGCAGCCTTAATTACCTAGGATACAATCCAGCTGTGATCTCTGTTTGAGCAGATGGATAACTGGGAAGGGATGCGTCTGTAATTTCTCCACTGTATATTTCTAATTTTAAAAAAAAATGTCTTCCCACCTTTGCACCTGTTATTATTAAAATCGTGGACTTTCATTTCGATTCGGTGAACATTCAGTTCAAATTATCTTCACCAACCTGACAATGCATGAAATATTTACGCGATAGGTTGAGTGTAATAATTCGCCCACACAATGCATAATGTTTGGGACATTTTTACCTTCATGTGCCTAATGCAATTCAAAGAGACAGGACATCATACACTATAGACCTCTTTCAACGAATAGCACTGCAATGTATATAAAAATTCAAGCCACTTATGCAGTGGCTCCAAATGGTAGGAAACGTCTAACATTGGTGCAGTTATATACTTATTTTTGTGCTGCCAACTTTTTCCAGAAGCGGTGAGTGCCTCATTCTCACAGATCTGGCATGATCCAGCTTTAAACGTTGTTCTGGTCGAATTAAAACTGGTCGTGAAAATGTGAGATATTTGTGCTACGAATATAATTGTTGTGTTACAGGAATGTGAAATTTCCACAACTGGTTCAGGACCACGAATGGAGATTAACAATGTTCAATGACACTTTGAATGTGTGCCTGACAGGGTACACAGCTTTTGATTTAAAGCTTTCGTGACTGCAGGGATTCTTATTCTTGGTTCTTTCGGTAAAGTCACCACGTAGAAGGGAAACAATAAAATAAGAATAATAATATAAAACAATACAATTCTCACGACGTTTCGACTGCATCAGGTGTGAAAACCACAGCAAGAAAATGTTATTGTTTTATATTTTTTAAAAATGATTTTATTGTTTCCCTTCTGCGTGACTTTACCGAAAGAACCAAGAATATAGGGTACAGCTTGATAATAAGCTGAAGGTGTAGACCTGTATTTTCTTGTTCATGCCCCTAATGGTGGAATGGCCTCTGCTTGACAGAGCCCCCCTACTCGTCCATGCTGGCGAGATGTTAATTACCTCGCCTGGTATACAGGAGAGTGTGGGTTCGATCCTGACTCTGACACTTGCTGTATATTTGAAGTTCGCATGTTCTCCCCGTGGTTGCGTGGATTTTTCTCTGGGTCCTCTGGTTTTTTGCCTTCACATTTAGAAGCAAGCATTGCGAGTATATTCTTGGGTCTTTCGGTTAAAGTCACGTAGATAGGTTCAAAGAAAATCATCAAAAATAACAGAAAACGACGACGTTTAGATCGCAACGCAAGCGGTCGTCTTCAGGAAAAGGACTAAAGACGACCGCCTGCGTTGCGATCGAAACGTCGTAGTTTTCTGTTAGTTTATTATTATTTTCTTTGAACCTATCTACGTGACTTCACCGAAAGACCCAAGAATATGAGTTCCTGCGGTCACGAAAGCTTTAAGTCAAGATTTAAGCATTGAGAGCATTTGGCTGCTGCAAATTTCTATATGATAAGCAAGCCACTTCGTTGGGCTATCATTTGTGGCCAGGCCGCTTCTGAGAAAAGAGCTATATACCTCGGTGGGCCTTACATTGTAAAATACAAATAGCTTAGTTTATAGTTTTATAAATAGGCACGCTTTATCTTGATCCGTGGTTCCAAAATTACTCTTCTACGCTGGCCAGACGTCTTGAAAGAGGTGGGATTACCCACACTTTGCCCCACTGCACGCAACGTTCCCATCAGCTGTAACTGCGGTGTACCCATTAACACTCCTGGGTGCAGCAGAGGCAGAGGATTTGAGAAACTTGCCCCATTGTTTCAACTGCAGCACTGGGAGAGATATATATATCGCGATCTGTGGGTTGCAAGTTTAGTGCGATTACCATTACACCAAGGTTGGCAGGATAAAAAAGAAAAACTAAGATTGACAGCTTATTCTCACAAAATAGTCATGGCTTGTGCTAAAACAACTTCCCCGTAGAATAACTGCGCACGTACTTGAGCAGATTTTCCAGGGAGCAAGGATTCATGGAGGTCACGAGGGTTACGTGAATTTGAAATTTGAATACAGTCTGTGAAACCTTGGAAATGGCTGTAGAAAGACGTTAAAACTAGGTGCTTCCTTTATTACCTTTTCCAAAATGCCAAAAAAATGAACTCAGAATAAAAAAAAATTACTTCCCCTGCACCTCGGACATGAATTTAACAAAATAAATAAATATACATGGCAAAACCGTAGCTCTAGCAATGAGTAAGTGTGATAAGCAACACAAAGCCTGAATATATTTCCGCGTGCGTTTCTTCATCTTAGTCAATAGCGGCGAATAAATGAATACCGTTTCACCCCCTCCCCCCCCCCCCCCACACCACATTTAGTATCAACATGCTTTGATTTAAAGCTTTCGTGACTGCAGGGATTCATCTTCTTGGTTCTTTCGGTAAAGTCACGTAGAAGGGAAACAATAAAATAAAAAAATATGAATAATAAAATTCTCACGACGTTTCGACTGCAACACAAGCAATCATCATCAGGTGTGAAAACCACAGCAAGAAAATTTGAAAAAAGTGGCGTTTTTTTTCTTATTAACGTTAAAAAAACCCGCCACTCTTTCAAATTTTCTTGCTGTGGTTTTCACACCTGATGATGATTGCTTGTGTTGCAGTCGAAAAGTCGTGAGAATTTTATTGTTTTATATTTTTATTATTTTATTGTTTCCCTTCTAAGTGACTTTACCGAAAAAAACAAGAATATCAACATGCTGTTCAGAGTATTTTGGTGCTATACATTTCCACGTGATAAACCACTTCGTTGGGCTATAATAATTCGTGGCCAGGTCGCATCTGAAAAAACGAGCAATATAGGCTCAGTGGGCCTTACCTGGTGAAAAAAAAAACTAACAACAACAAATTCGTTACAGCGTTCGTTTAGAAAAAAACAATTGTACACGATGCTTACGCTCATTGGAGGTCTGGAAGTGGAAGGGCTTGCTGTACTGCCCGTATCCTGCCGTCGTCCGTGTGCGCACTTGGAAGGTATAGATCGTCGAGGGCTTCAGGCCGTTAATGGTGATGGTGTTCCACTTGGATTTCACTGTGGTGTAGCTGATCTCCGTTTGCTCCTGCGCAAAAGCATTGGAGACAATTTGGAGAGAAAGAGGTTTGATTGCGTTAGAACGTGCGCGATGGGTCATTTTTCTTTGCTTTGCTCACCGCATGTGTTTGATGAGGAACGATCACTTTAGAGATTAATGCGAACATATACTAAAAATAGGTCCTGTGAGTTGATCAAAGGGCGTCTTTGAAAACTCAACACATTAGTGAATAACACTGCCCTAAAAAAATAAACAATATGTAATCGGTGACGTTTTGCGAAATGGCTCTTTTTCTAAAGCAGAGGGAAAATATATCAATTGTGTCATAGAGAAAATATCGAAAAAATATACACGAAGCAACAATTCAAAATATGGCCCGATTCATTGCAGAGAAAAAGAGCCATAGTCGGAAACATTGTGTAGACATTTTCCTCTTCAGGGAAGCGATATTGATGCATGCGAGTATTTTGTTCATAGTTTAGTTACACCAACTGCCGATGCAGTATTCCATTATTTAGTTTAAGCGCGTTTGAGAGGCCTATATGAATTATATAAGCTACTGGACACACACTTTCCCAGTGGACGTATAGAACATCTAAATAAACATCAAGCTCAAACTATTATACAAGTAGGCTTTCACGACCGATATTATCATTCATAATCGGTTTCTTTTGGGTTAGCTCGTCGTGTAACAAAAATGTGTTGTAAACCGTCCCGCATGGAAATCTCGTGAGATCGCTCTCCGAAAACAACCACCAGCGGCGCTGCTGAACCAGGTGATACGTCTGGCCACGTTTAATTTACGTGACACTTTTTTTTTAATCCACTGTCGGGTGGAGGAGGGTTTACAACACACATTACTATTATTACAACACTACCTCACTGAAAATAAACCAATGATGAAGCATAAAACTCAAGACGACCCATGTCCCCACCTGTGCCTGATATTATGTGCGAGCTCCGTTTTAATTCTGGTTTCAACTGGCTTTGCCTTTCCCTGGTGGCATTTGTTTCGTATGATTACAAATGTCAAACAGGAAGAGAAGAGGATATTCGTATGCATACATTTGGGTTGAAAGTAAATATCCTTTTTTTTTAATAATCTTATGAACAAATACAATCTGTGGATTATTTTCATGCACGGTGAGTTCAAGCTTAGAAACTTGAAGTGGAAATTATTTTTGTCTGATTTATTTTAACACCGTATATCTTATTTCTTCCGCATTTTCTTGAATTACGTGGAATTCTCTACGGAAAACCGTGTGCTCTGTGGCTTTGAGGCCATTGTTGCCATTGAGTTAATATATTGATAAAATACATAACATTGAAAATTTTGATTTAAAGCTTTCGTGACTGCAGGGATTCATATTCTTGGTTCTTTCGGTAAAGTAACGTAGAAGGGAAAAAAATAAAATAATAAAAATATAAAACAATAAAATTCTCACGACGTTTCGACTGCAACACAAGCAATCATCATCAGGTGTGAAAACCACAGCAAGAAAATTTTATTTTTTTAGATATCATAAATGCTACAAAAACGTTGCATGGGGAATTGTGATCCTGTGTAACTGTGATGAGTGTGTAATGCAATGTATTTTTAAACATGATGGGACCTCCTTTGGCCACAAGTATTGTGGTTAATGCAAAGACATGATTCCTAGTGAAAAGGTTTCAGTTTTATTGCCAGAAAAAAAGGGAAAAACCTATTCTGATATTTTGGCACTGGCAAAGGAGGTCACATGATGTAGATGCTCACCACGAGCTCTCATTGCTCTGATAGTGGCGTTGTCTTTGAGCTGTACGCCTTTTGGCTTTCTCTGGTCTAATACCGTTTGAGACGAGGCTCAAAAGAAAGATGTCTCTGGTGTGGAACAATCAGTTTCAAGGACAATGCATATATTATCAGAGTATGTTTTTTTGTTTGCATACCGACCACAAGTATTGGAGTTAATGCACACATGAGTCCTCGTAAAAAAAAGGTTTCAGTTTTGTTGCCAGAAAAAAGGGGAAAACCTGTTCTTGTTTGAAACTAAGTAGAATACAATAGAAACATGAAACAGGCTTTTCTCAAGCTGTACCATCTTAATATGTAACGTCCTTGTGTTTATACTGTATGTGAATTTATATTTACAAATATATGCTCAGTAAAATTACAAAAAATATACAAACATTTCAATTTACATTTCGAGTGCATTTATGCATGCACATCATATAAGCCTCTGTGTCTTGTTTGTGCGTGTAAACATATATCTGAGCAGTGTTTTCCAAACGTCTATATGGGGAGCGCTAGCGTCGTGGCGAGTGCATGGCACTCCCAACCCAGCGTCCCGAGTTCGATTCCTGCTCATGGTGACGAATTTTTTTAACCTGTCCCGGGCCTTCCCTAGGTCGGCCGCCTGGTGCGGTGTCTAAACATAAGCATTGGGGAGACAAAGGTGATCAGGAGTGGCACTTGCCACCCACCTCCTCATGTGCCGTGCCAGCCTTCATAGGTTATCGCTAACAACACTTTCCCCAACAGTCTGTTCAAAGCATTATTGGGCGAACGCTTTCTTTATTTGTCTTTGTGCATCCGAAAAAAACCCAAACCCATCATTTACGGCGTGCATAAAATAAAATTGCTCATCCATTATAGTTGATTATGGTTTTCCCCCCACTTAAAGGCGACAGCGAAGGATGAGGAATCATCCTCGTCTGCTCGATTGTGTTCCCCTGATACGGCTGGAATTGTTCTTGGCAACATCAGCCAATGTTCTTCAGCAATATTGATGGCGTTTGAAAAGGTGGTACACAGAGACACAATATCTCGGTTGGGTCAAAGGGTCAACGTTCAAGGTCACCGTGGTCCCAATGGTATCATTATTTTGGTCTGTCAGTCTGTGTAAGCCTTGACATAACCTTTTTTGGCTTGATATAAAACAGATATTATAGCTCTGTTGTACTTTTCGTTATTATTATTATTGTTGGGTGATAGTAAAGTATGCGACTGAAGCTTTAGCTTAAATAAGCATAATATGAAACTATTGAATTAAAAATTGACGTCATGATCAACGTTGCTAACACAAAAGGGCATTTGAAAAGGGTATTGTACCTAAAATATATAACATCAACGTAATGCAATGATCAACCTGCTCTCATGATCAACATTCTTATCACAACAACCATTGGCCCTCAGAGAGGGTCACGATGCGAGTGAAGAATACATTTTTTAAATCTCATATTTACCGTCTCATTTCCACTGTTTCTCAGTTTGTTTGCCTCATGTGTACAGTTGTGGATTTTCCATGAGTCTAAATGCGTCATTAGCATCTGATATTTTTTTTTAATGGAAAGGTACAGCCCTGCAATTTATTGCTCATGCCACCGCTGGCAGAAGGAGCTCCCTCTCGAGGGAAAGAGGCTATTTGAAGTACTATTCCACATAGACCATCGCCCTTTTGGAATAGGTGAAAGTACCCACAGTTTATCCCACCACATCGGACATGCTTTGCTTGACCGACGAACCCATTCATCAGCAGCGGAGTGAGAATGGCTTACGGCAGTAACGCCGCATATCCCGCAGGCTCGGGAATACCGTATAAGCTAAATTACCCATTATCTTATCTTAACGTAATTCATGAGCGCCTTGACTAAGGCGCTTATGAATCACCAAAGGCATTCTACAAAGAATTAACAATGGTACATGTGAATGTAATGGTCGAGATGAGGTGAATAAAATATATGAGAGGAAGTAATGGGTGAATCTGCGATGCATGAATTAGGTAAAAGCAAAATTGATGAGAGCAAATGATGATGAATGGATTGGATGGATGAGTGGTAGCTATGGGGAGAGATTGTGAAGATGGAGCATAGACGGTAGTGGTTATGAGGGGGAGATTAAGAGGTCGTGGGGTGAGCTAAAGTGAGTTTTTGATGGAGTGGAGAATAGTTGAGCAAAGATGACTGCTTACCGTACGCGTACGTCATTAGTTTTTCACCTGATTTCATTCCGATTAAGTCACCGGAACGGAATCGGAAGGAAAAACTAACATAAAATAACTTTATCGTGAGGTCTTCATGTCGGAAGATGTACCGAGGCACCCACAAGGCCATGCGGGAGGGCGTGTGGCACGGTTTGGCGCCAGCTATCACATCGTGCGGTCATGTCGCTAGGGTTCTCTGCGGCGAGTATAATGGAACTTTGCCTCTCTAAAAAAAATGAATGCTAACCGCTTGCGCGGGTTCAGAGATTCAGCGGTGAACAGGACACCCACCCTGCAACTTGCAGACATCTCGGAACGGGATGGGGTTCATGTGGAGGGGAAGTTTGTTCCAGTGAAGGGGGGCGAGAAGAGAGAGATAGCGTGATGGAGCACACGGAGGAGGCGAAACAGAGAGAGAGAGACAACAAAGATTAAAAACGTAGAGGGGGAGGAGCGACATGGAAGGATGCAATTTGCAATGTAAACAACTTAATAGAGTTATGTCACCATTAACATGGGGCTTCAACGGGGTCACCTTGAGGAAAGTGGGGATTAAAACGAATGTTTGACTTCAATAATATTATTTTCTACGACATGGGTGACCGACTTCCACATTAATTACGAAAAAGCGCGTCACGCAAACAATGAAAGAACACCTCAAAGCACTCCGGGAGGACGCAATTCGTGAACCGTGCAAGAAAATGGCTCGGCAGAAAGTTCGCCCAGAGGAAATGATTCACAGAGTCGCTTTCAAGGATGCGTTTCCGTGCCACTCATCCTGGTGGAATGGCTCACGTTTGCTCGACAAATTGTCCGACCATTCAGGCGTGTGCAGCCTCGCCTGCCATGCTCCAACGAAAATAGCCGTTACTAAAAGTTAAATAAAAAGTCATGTTTTTCCATTGATCTGTGTTACGTCATTTCTGTGCGATTCCAATCGTATTCATAGTCCAAATCGCCAAATTTGCGGAGCTCCGCTGCGAATGCAGGGAGAGGCCAGGAGCCAGCGACGAGCTCAGCAGCCTCCCCTCTGATTGCGCAACCCCTCAGAAATTACATTTATAA